GTGGCAGCATCGATGGACTCAAGCGTGGCAACAATAGTGAGGTTGGTCCAGGACCGGGCAGTGTTTCGTTCTGCTGTGCGTAAGGTTGCTAAGAGTCGGTACTGACTCGATGGCACCTAAAAACAACAGCATGCCCAGGGAGCCTCTGAAACATAAGGTAATCTCCACAAGAGCCTTTTGAAAGGGGTGTCAGCAACGTTCCACATGGAAGGAAACTGGATGAGCAGGGACGTTAGCAGCAGGTAGTAACAGATTCTGACCTTGGAATGCCATAGTCCCGTTGCTCCTCCATGGAAACCAACAACCATTTCCCAACCACAGAGTATGCGCACTAAGCAAGCATGCCGTTCAAGGATAATTTGGGGATCTTGTCATAGTGGATGAGGGCAGATTGGATGCAAGAGCAGCTCGTGTGTGCACGAGTACACATGTGCTCCTGAGGGTTTCCAGTGGCTGCAGTTTTGGAAGTAGTGTACCACGTGTTTTTGCTGAGCTGTCTTTGAGTGGATCTGAAATGCCAGCATTTCAGTTAGCAGCTAGCAGCCAATCATGTTAACCTTCTGCACCGCCCGGCAGCACCCTGAATGGATGAGCTTTGGTTTGCCCAGGCAGGCTTGGGAAGAATGCTGAGTGGACAGGGCAGGTGCCTACACACCTGGGTACAGGTGTGTACATGGCACGTGGGCAGGTCTTGTAAAAGAGCGAGGGGAGATGAGGAGTGGTCCTGCAGAGAACTGACAGAGATGGCCCAAGTCTGTGACCCCCTGCACTGCTGACTCACACTGCCCAGGCCACGCCGTGTCCAGGGCTGGATGCTTACATGGGATGATACTTTCTTCCTAGCAGCACACAAGCCTCCACTGACAGCTCCATGGTTTATTGTCCCTATGACCCTGGACTAGTTCTGTCTCTGCTCCGCACCTCCACCCCCAGGGCTGGAAAACAGGAGGCCACACCAGCTCCCCCCAGCCTGCTGTAAGGGCCCATGAGGCAGGCAGTGCCTGGGAGAGACGTAGCGGGCGTGTGCAGGTTTGAGAGGTGGAGGCTGAAGGGTCTGGCCCCAGAGCTTCCAATACCTCATTCCACATACATCTGTGTCCTCTCTGCGCATAGCCCCTGCCTGGACCTGGCACCTGCTGCGATGTGGGAGGTGGCTGAGGTACCGGGAGCACCCATGTGTCCGGAGACTGAACATGAGTGGGAACAGAAGGAGGAGGTCAGGGACGGGCACTGTGGGCCTGGAATTGACTTCCGGAGGCTTTTCTGTCCACAGTCTTCTTCATTCCCGCCAAGGGACTGGGTGGGGCCGTGCAGACATGGAAGACAGGGCTCTGAGGCTGGGATTGGTTCACTTTGCCTTCCAGCTAGGAGCCATCTCAGAAGCAGAGACAGAAGATCCCAGGCCCACCAAGAAGAAAGAGCGTGAGTGGAGTGTGAGGTCCCTACCTAGAAAAGTGGGGACAGCAGAGGCTACAGCAGAGGTGATGGTAGACACGGTGTATGCAGAGACAGAGCGGCTGTGGGCTCTAGTACATGGACTGAGTAAGGCCGAGTGCCCACGGGCAGGAGACTGGCTTACAGAAGGTGCCCTTTGGGCATTCACAGCCTAGATAAAGAGCTTAGTAACATGTGCTCAAGCAGGACAGAGGCCAAGGAGCCCCATGGCTGAAAGGCTCAAGACAAGAGTGAGGCGTGCCTACGTCTGGGAGACATGGGGCGTTCCTGATGGGGGACCTGCTGTGTTCTGAGTGGGTTTTGATCCTGAATTGTACCCTGTTCACTTCCTAATAAACTCCAGAAATGTGAGTATTGTTATGAGTTCTGTGTGGTCACTGCAATGGATTGTGGAGCCCAGATGTGAAGCCGAGTGCAGTGGGAGGGACGGCTGGTGTCAGAACAGGGGACAGAAGGTTGTAGGGTGGGAACATGTCTGACCTTCACACCATAGGAATCGACATTGGGCTGATTTTGAGTTTGATTCTCTTTCTCCCTTGTGAAGCCAGGGGAGTCAGACATGGCCCCCATATGGTTTTTTCAGGGTCATACATGGGCGCCAGGTGGGGCCAAACTCTGCAGGAAGAGCCCAGGTGTGGGACTGAGCCCTGAATTGATTTGACTCTCGGAAACCTGCGTCTTTCCACAGAAAGCTTTGTTTGGGGGAGTTCTAAACCCTCTGGTAGCGTAGTGGTTACAAATCAGACTGCTAATCTCACGGTCAGCAGTTCGAAACTACTAACTGTTCCGTGGGAGAAAGATGAGGCTTTCTGCTCCTGTAAAGATTTATAGCCACAGAAACCCTGTACAGGGTCGCTATGAGTCGGAACCTACTCCACGGCACACAACAACACACACACACACACAATCCCAGAGCAACCTGGGGCTGAAGGCCACGCAGACTTCCTTACTCTGACCTCTGAGGGGTGTTGTTTGTTGCCCCACTCAAAAATCCCAACAAGATATACAAATACTTACACACACACACACACACACACACACTAAACTACAACCTAAACCCCTTCCCAAGCTGTCGTGATTGAAGACAGTCAACTTTCCCAAGCAACCATTTCCACCAAATTTCTATTTTTGTACTACAATATTTGTAATTTAAACAAACACACCAAAGAGACATTCCTTACTGAACCTGCTTGGAACACACGGTCTACACTACTTTATGGAGTCCTGGTGTGGCGCTGCGCGATCATGCGCTGGACCATACAGAAGGTTTGAATTGCAAGGTCAGCGGTTCAAACCTACCAGCCACTCCTTGGAAACTCTATACAGGGTGGCTATGAGTTGGAACTGATTTGCCAGCACTGAACGAAAGGATGTCATGTTTGGTAAGGTCGAGTGCCAGAGAAAAAGAGGAAGACCCCCAGAGAGATGGATTGGCAAAGTGGCAGCATCAATGGGCTCAAGTGTGGCAACAATGGTGAGGTTGGCCCAGGATCGGGTGGTGTTTCATTCTGTTGTGCAGAGGGTCGCTATGATTTGGTACTGACTTGATGGTACCTAACAACAACAACAAAACAACAAGGAGTCCTGGTGTGGCGCTGTGGGTTAATGTGTTAGACTGCAAAGTCGTTTGAACTGCAAGGTTGGTGGTCCAAGCTCACCAGCTGCTCCTTGGAAAGCCTATGCAGGGTTGCAGGTCGCTATGGGTCGGAATTGACTCGACGGCACTTAACAACATTAACAACGATCTACTTTATTTCGTTCTGCTGTGCAAAAGCTTTCTATGAGTTGGTACCGACTCGATGGCACCTAAGAACTAAAGCAACTTTATTCAGTATTGGATTACTCAACACGCAAGGTAAGCTGGGATTTACTTCTGCTTCCCAACTAGCCTGTACTGGATAATATCACATGAGTTTCTCATCAAAGAGCTTGCTGCTAGATCTGACAGGTATCTCTCTCTCCCAACTCCACAGCCTCTTCCTACTAAACCAAAGCCTGTTTTCTCACAGTCCCTGAAAGAACAGGGTACCTTGCTTTACCTGCATTACCAGTGCTTACTTACTCATCTGTAGTGAACAACGTCACATTTCATGCCACATCAATCTATGATGAACCTATATGAATTGTTTACCACAGATGAGCCAAGACGCACAAGTAAGCCCACGCTGACCGTATTGACGGGGCAATCCACCCCTGACTTCACTGTGTATCCTTCTGGTGTCTTGTGGGATGAAGAGCTCCGTGAGGCCTTAGTCTCTGGTTTCCAAAGACAGCCCTCCTTGGAGTCTCCCCAAAATGCAGTTACACCTGAAACTGTAGCAGCGTGGGGCTAGCACAGCGTCCACGTGACAGCGGAGCTCAGTAAGGACACAGGCTGTCACGGATGGAGTCAACCGGACATGACTAAGCAATGAGCCCTCACATGACCACCCAGCAGCTAAAGGCCCTGGGCAGGGAGCAGCTGAGCTTCCGGAGTTCATGAGACCAGGCGCCCTGGGCAGAGACGACGGAAGTCTTGTATCTGGAACCATCTCAGACCAAGACCTGTGCGTCCCTTCATTCATATTCGTTCGGTGGTTAATACATGGATAATTGCAGGCCTAGACAGTTCTCCATGAATGCTGTGAGTCACTGAAAAGAACGAAGGGACCCAGAAGCAGGGGGAGCCGGCAGGAATTGGCACTGGCCTGGGTCTTCTGAACGAATTAGACCTTCTTCTTGTGTGCTCTGTGATTCAGCGTGTGGCTGATCTGAGCACAGAGTCAACCTCATGAGCTCCAACCTGCCTCTGGGGCTACCAGGAGGGCCCCTGGATCTGTGCCCAAGTGGAGGTGAATGCCCGCTGGGCTTTGCCACATAAGCGATGCAGATGGGATGAGCCCACCCGGCCCCTTGTTTAGTGTGGTCACGGTGGAGCGCTGAGCCCGGTAGCCACAGTGGCTGCCCACCAGAAGGACGGTGGTCTGTGAGCAGACTTATAGGCCCTGGTAGGATTCTGGAATCCTCACCTTTCCTCTCAGGACCCTCCCACGGAGCATCAGTCGCCCCCACGGCACAGTGTGTGGCTGGGAAGCGTTCCATACCTGCGTAAGCTCCTGGCTGGGCACGGCGCTCAGACCTGTGGCCGCCATGTATGTGCTGCCGATGGTCTTGATCTTCTCAACGCCACTGAATTTCGGCTTGGACAACAGCTGGGAAGGAAAGACAGTGCCTGGGTTACTCAGACAGATGCAGAGACTCACCACTGGACACTCAAGAGTCCTCCCTCAAAGTCCAGTCACGGGGACCAAGCACTTTCTGCCGCCTGTAGAGGGTGTGCCAGGGAGGGAGGGCTGCATCACATAGACCACCTTCCAAAGCCTGGCTGTGGAGGGACAGGAGGAACTGTGAAGATGTGAGAAATGATGGCCTGTAGAAAGTCTCTTGATGCTGGGCTTCAGAGACCCACATGTGGGACATGGAGTCAGGGTGGGCTGGGTTAAGACCAGATGCCAGTACTGAGGGCCGGCTTTGCCCTCTACCTGCTGGAGGTGAGGATAAAGATCTAGAATGGGTTCACCTAGCAGCCCTGACCACGCCTTCCTTTCTCCACCCACCAACCAGCCACCTGCTTCCCCATGATCCTTTAGGGCACTGTTGGTGGGATGGAGCAGAGGTAAAGACAGCAGCAGTCACTGTAGGGATGAGGAAGAAGACATGGAAGGTTCAGCATCTCTATCTAAAGACCTGAGCATCTTCCAGTTCCTTCCTTGCTTTCAGGGTTATATGTCAGGGAATCTAATATTTGGGGACAGATTCCCGAATTACATATCCATGAGTCTGTCCAACCAGGAGAACCTGCTGCTCAGCCAGTGGGATGGGAGGGGGGCACGTGTGTTTTATAGGGGGCAGCAACCCTTTCTCAGGACATGCCTGGTGACAGGTGGGAAGTACCATGGCTTTGTGGAGCTGACTTTCCAGTGAGGACGTGCCGCGTGGGACATGGAGAAGGTTGGAACACTTCTATCACAGTGCCATCCCTCGACGAGGGTAGGACAAAAAGCTTGTTCCAACTGCAGAGATCAAACGTGAAGCTACTGTTTCTCAAGTTATCCTCATCTAGGTCTGTCCACTTTCACCCTTCTCACAGTGTGGCACCGTAGGATCAGCACTGGACTGTGAACCACAAGGTCGGCAGTTCAAACCCACCAGCTGCTCCTTGGAAACCCAGTACAGGATTGCTATGAGTCAGAAAGCACTCAATGGCCTTCAACAACAATGACCCGTCTAAGAATTCTGTGGTTGGCACCACATCAAAACAGCTGTGTGGGCCTCCTCGAGGGACTCAAATTGTGTTCTTTTTCAGGGTTCTGAGTTTTGTGGGGAAAAAAGTCTGAAAGGAAAAGATCAGGGCTGTAGGGTTAGAGGGAATAAGCCTTCCCAATGAAATTCTCATGGGACAGGCCTTGCTACCCTGGAAGAGGGGCAGGTTGCATTGTTATGGGGGGAAAAAAATTCCCCGGCATAACTGGCCTTTTGCTCAGCAGTGCAATTCTCCATTTTCTTAAACTTTCATCAAAAGAAATTTAGTGATCGTCCTGCGTCCTTCAAGAAACTCTATAAAGATGACCCCTCCCTTTGGAGTCCCAAAAATCAGTCCCCATAACCTCCGAACTGACCTCTCTGATTCCCAAGCCATTGTGACTGAAGATAGTCAACTTGACCCAAGCAACCATTTACACCAAATTTCTATTTTTGTACTACGATCTTTGTAATTTAAAACAAACACACCAAGGAGACATTCCTTACTGAACCTGCTTGGAACACATGGTCTGCGCTACTTTACAGAGTCCTGGTGTGGCGCTGTGGGATCATGCGCTGCAATTTAACGTTGACTGGCATGGCAGACCCCTCAGAAGCTAGGCTGGATGCACCCTTTTCTGAAGGCACCTAAGGAGACCAAAGAGTCCAGGTGTGGCACTCAAGTCCAGAGCACTGGACTGCAAGGTTGGTAGTTCAAACACACCAGCCGCTCCTCAGAAACCCTATACAGGGTTGCTATGAATTGGAACTGACTCGACGGCACTTCACAACAACAACGGAGTCTAGAACAGTGTTTATCTAGTGAACTGGTCTGCAGCCATCCAACGATTGCAGAGACGTGTTGAAACATGCTTTGTCTGGAACAAACCCGTAAGGTATGAGTTGAAACCCTAGTAGCAAGATTTCCAGACATACCCTCTTATTCCAAAATTCCATGAATCATGATGAACATGTGTTCATGGATGCCAGCTGTTCTATGTTTTGCACAACACCGACAAGAATGGATTGGCGGCATTTTCCTCCAATCAACTTTGTGAGTGCTTCTTGTAGAAAACCAAACACAGGGCTCTCCGTGTGGAGAGACTACTGGAAGATAGAATTCAACGCCTCATTCAAATTCCAAAGCACAGACTCAAAGTATGTACTGTCTTACGTACACACTGGTTTTCAATAATCAACGACATCCCTCAAGCAGAGTTCACGAGCTTGAAACGACAAAGAACTTGACGTATGCAGAGACATGCCCATATCTGCAGAAGTACCTGTGCTCATCAGCGTTTTATGTCAAAGGGGTGAGGGCATGCATTTTCTTTCTAGAACATTCCACTGGATAGGAATTATATTTATTCAGATTTTGGCAGCTGTTCCTAAACAATCATATCAGCTTCAAACATAAAATGTATTTTGCCTTTGAAATTAGGGACCCAAACAGAACAAAGCATTCTAATGACAACCACCAGGAATTGGGCCAAAAAGACGATGTGAAGATACAAGACAGAACTAACTTCAGATGCCCTGGCCGCCAAGGCGACCCTGGATACCCACATCATCGAAGTCGGCGACGATCTCATTCAGCAGTCGGAGACACTCCAAGCCCTCCTTGTTCACATCTGATTCCGTGTAAAACTCCTTGAAATCCGGGATGGAGGCAAACATGACGCAGACGCAGTCGTACGACTGGTGGTACAGCTCCTGGAAACACACGATTCTTGGTTCTGGGATTTGTTCTGGAATTACCTAAGTGCCACATTCCACTAGCCCACCCCAACCCCGGACCCATCCCTTCACCCACCAACCAACCCCCACAGAATCAATGGCACTGAACAACGACAACAACAACTGTTTGGGTAACAATTGATCCAAGGGGGTGATTTCCCAACTGAATGTTTCTTAAGTGAATAAGGACCCACCAGGGATGGATCTATGGAGCTCTGGTAGCGTAGTGGTTACGAATTGGGCTGTGAACCGTAAGGTCAGCAGTTCGAAACTACCAGCGATTCCGTGGGAGAAAGATGAGGCGTTCTGCTCCCGTAAAGATTTACAGCCTCGGAAACCCTGTGCAGGGTCGTTAAGAGTCGGAACTGACTCCACGGCACATAACAACAACAACAACAGCGAAGGATCTGCTTACTTCACAAGTCTGTAACATTAGAGTGATTTCATACGTTACTAACCCTGGTCTTTCCCATTCTAGTCAAAGTCATTCAATCTCCATTCCTTGAAACTTTCCTGAGATTCCCACAGTCCCATGAGTGTCCTCCATTTGCTCTTGGATAGGTCAATCTCAAATCCTGTCCATCTCCTCTGAAATGCTGAGATTTCATGATACCTCAGGAGCTTTCTGGATCCCCTACGGGGTGCAAACTGTGGACACACTTAAATCTGAGCTGAAAGACTGGAGGTTCTAATCCACCCAGGTGTTCCTCAGAAGAAAGCCCTGGCGATCTGAAAATCCCGTGGAGCACAGCTCTACTGTGGCACAGGTGGGTGACCATGATCTAGTTGGGTTTTGTTTGGTGAGGGGCTTTCAGGAAGATTCAGAGCAGAGAAACCACCAATGTGTGGAATGTCTGATGGAATTTCCTTGTCTTCTGATTTAGAACCTCACCACTCCCCTACATGGATTGGCGCTCCTTCAAACATATGTCTTGTTCATGGAACCTGTGTGCACGTGGTGGTAATTCCACTTGGGAATAGGTTATCTTTGTTGTGTGCATGAGGCGGGATTCATGTGTGTATTTAGGGGGTCTCATTTAAGATGTGACAGAGATTCAACCAGTCAGCTTGGAGGCAGAGACAGGGCAAGAGCGAGGAGAAGCTGCATGAAGACCACCCGGGAGGAGGACCTCCAGAGACAAGGACCTTCGTCCACACCCGACACAGAGAGCAAGCCTCTCCCTACAGCTCGTGCCCCAAATTCAGACTTCTTGTCTCCTGCCTTCGAAAAAATAAATCTCTGTTTGCTAAAGCCACCCTCTTTTGGTATTTCGTTCAAAGCAGCATTAGAGAACTTGGGCAGCCTATACTGTGAGCAGGCAAGGAAGGTGCCCTTCCACACCAGGGACATGAGAAGAGACGATGGCAAGTTTGGGGATGGAATTGTGTGTTGTCTTAGATGTGCTGGTTCCTGAGATGCTGTTTCAATAATGAACCAAAGGCATGCTGAGCCCTTCAGAAGGCGTTCCGGGCTTGGTTCTGGGTCGCCTCCTCCTGTGGGTCCCTGACAGCCACGCCGGGCCTGTCCCCGTCCCTCTGCCCATCCAGCACAGTCCCCGCCTGACCTCGTTCTTCAGGCTCCTGGCCAGGAAGTGCTCGGCCACGTGGGCGGGCAGCACATTCTCCAGCAGCACGCGGTTGAGGTTCTCCATGGTCTCGATCTCCTCCCGCTCTTTTTTGAACTTATTCTTCCACAAGTAGTCTAACCTACAGTAATATTCATTCTGTTACAAGAGGACACAGAGGGAGAGAGAAATAGGCATCTTGTCCTGTCAGAAAGGGACACTCCACCGAGAAAACAAAACCGACCCGGAGAAAAGCCCCCAACACTGCCTCCATCCTCCTAGCTAAGACCTCCATCCAGCCCCTGTGATCCCAGCTGTCATCCCGTTAGCCTCTCAGATGGACTGGTGCAGAAAACAAAACCACCACCGAAGGAAAACAAGGAAGGGACCTGGGCTGGGGACACAGCTCTGAAGACGTGTGCTTGGACACAAAAAAGGACATACAAGTGTCCTGCTCTGCAGTCATACTAGTATCCGGGGTCCCACTCTTGTCTGAAGGAGGGCAGAGCTGAATATAAATGATGAAGAAGTGAGAAACACATGGGCAGAGGCCATGCAAAGTGGAACGGCTTGCACTTTACAAATATCGGTCTCCACTGGGTGGGGAGGGCTGCCTTTTCCCTTTCTTCGGGCCTGCTCCGTCTTCCCCTCCACAAGGCAGGCGATCCAGCAGTTGTGGGAAGATGGGTGCAAGTCTGCGCTCTCAATCAATCAATTTGGGAACGCAATGCCTGGCACGATGGCGTGAAACTGAGACACAATTCATTTGGCTATCGCTTCACTGATGCCGTGTTTGCTGGTAGTGTCCCTTTGTCCATACTTGTGAGGTTTTCTCTATCCCAATTGATCACTCTCAGCGTGGCAGGCATGAGGAAGCGGCTTGCTTTCTGACAAGGGGTACCTTTGGTCTTAACACCATTTTGTGCCTCTTAGGATGCTGGTCTAGCATATTAGCCACAGCACCACACCAGGGCTCTTCGGAGACCATATACAGGGTCACTATAGGCCGAAACTGACTCCACGGCACTTCACAACAATGGGCTGCTGCGGGTGCAGTAAGGTAAGCACTGGCCTGCTAAGCCCAAGGTTGGCAGTTCAAACCCATCAGCCATTCTGAGGGACAAAGGTGAGTCTTTCTGTGTGGTGCTATTGGATCAGCACTGCACTGCGAACCACAAGGTCAGCAGTTCAAACCCACCAGCTGCTCCTTAGAAACCCTATGTTGGCTTCGGGTTGGAATTGCCTCGATGGCAATGGGTTTGGTTGGATTTGCTTTGGTGATGAAATGGTTAGGCACTTGGTAGTTGAGATATACCCACTGGCTATGAGGGAGGCAGGTCGGGCGAGCACTGCTCCCCTAAAGATGCGGGGCCTCAAAGTCCCCGGGGACCACTTCTTCTCTGTCAATAGGGTCGATACCAGTGGGAACTGCTCCACAGCCCCTGACAACACCATGATGCAACTCATTAAATTGATGGAATCTTCCAGGCTCCAACCGAGCGCGTGCATTCCACAGAGAGCGTGATTTATTTCACTAAGACACGTAGCAGAGACGAGCTACAGGAAGGTTTTTCTTTCCCCGGGTTGATGAATTTCGTCAGCGACAGTGCTGGGGTGTGCAGGCACACACACGCAGACACGCATGCATAAATGAGGATTTAAAACTTCCTGGAAAGGGTGAGAGCTTCAGAAAGTCTTCTGTCTGTCCGACAGGGTCATGTGACTGGGAATCTCACATCAGAGGGTCTCACATCCTCAGTGACACCCCCCACCTGTCTTCCCTGTGACTGGCAGCAGATGGGGAAGCCAGGGAGGTGGAGCAGGCTGTGGGGTGGGGGGTCAGGGCAAGGAACGAGGACCAAGAACATTCCAGAGACGTGGCCATGGAGGCTAGGAAGGGAGGGAGAGGATGCAGGAGACAACTCTGGCAGCTTCGAGGATCCTTGTGTAGGCTCACAAGCTTCCCCGACATTTATTCTGAGAATCACCCTTTCAAGATGGAATTGTCTTCTGCTTTGAATTTCTCTTTGGAAACCATGTGCTTTCACTAGTGAAAGTCATTTTGAGTGAAATATACAAATAAAAGTGTTTATGTAATATGATTTCAATCCATTGTCCCCAGGGGTCTCTGGTGTTGGGATTGGGGGAATGAGGCCCCCTTTCTTCAGGTTAATGCATTATGCAAGTTCCCACCAGATGGCAGCACACACTAAACTTGAGCTAGCAGCCATGGTGTTGGAGGAGAATATTAGAGGTACCATGGACTGCTAGAAAAACAAACAAGTCTCCGTTGGAGGAATTACAACTAGAATTCTCTTTAGAAGTCAGGATGGTGAGACTCTGTGTCTCTCATACTTTGGATATGTTATCAGGAGGGATCAGTCCCTGGAGAAGGACATGATGCTTGGTAAAGTAGAGGGTCAGAGAAGAAGAGGGAGACCCCTCAACGAGATGGGCTGACACAGTGGCAGCAGCAATTGTGAGGATGACGCAGGACAGGGTAGTGTTTTGGTTCATTGTGCATAGGGTCGCTATGAGTCTGAACTGACTCAGCAGTGGAACATGTGGGTGGGTACTATATGTCCCAGGGGTCACTGAAGAATGTGCAAGAAAGAGATTCACATCTCTGCCATTCACAAAGGTCGCCGTGGGGGTGAAACAGAGTGACCTTTCCTGTTGTCTGTTTCTCAGCACCCATGGCTTGTGAGACATCCCGCAATGCAGATTACTGAAGACAGGTTATTGACATTCCCCTAAGGGAGCAGGTGAGGGAGTTACCATAATGCACGTCAATAAAGTATGTAGAGACTTCTTACCTGCCGGCCCAGGACAAGCAGAGTGATGAAGAAAATGCAGAGAGACACTGAGCCCATGGTCTTTAGGTCTTTCCAAATGCCCGGTCTATTAAAACACAGACAGGAAAACAAAACCAACACAAAATCCACAAAACAACAAGGACACAGAACTTAGAATTCATGTATCAGAAAACCAGAATCGCCAAAAATGTATACCCCCTACACCAGCCAAATACACACATGGGAGATTCTCTACACCCCACATCAGTCACACACACTCATGGGAGATTCCCCAGCCCCACATCAGTCACACACACTCATGGGAGATTCCCCAGCCCCACA